TATGATATCACAAAATTAATTACTAAACTTATTTATTGCAGAGTTCAACGTCGGATGTGGTTGAAGCTGCAGCCAGAAGAGAAGAATCGCTAGCGGCGAAAACAGGCGCGAGTCCGCACGGAGCCAATTGCTCCAGTGCGTCGGTGGACTTGGAGATGACCAAGTGCTCAGCGCGGGCATTCGTTCCCGGAACGAACTCACCGAGGGAATCTCCGTATGTGGCCGTCTCGGAGGCAGTTGCTGGAGCTGCTGACGCTGGTGGCCGACGTGGTCCTCACGACCAGGTTAGGTCCGCCAGGTGAGTATTCCCGAATCCCTTAAATTTCCGGGGCCCTTTAGATAGGGTCCCCGGTGGCTTTAATATTTAAAAAAAAACACTGTTATTTATAAGTTTATTGCAAATAAATAACCACTCACTTTAATTTATCTAAACACTAATAATGCACTTATGAACTTATTTTTCCACGACTGTTCTACTGCGACTTATTGCAGCAACTAAAGCAAAACCCTGACCTACACCAAAGTCGTTCGCCATTTTCCCTCCCGCTCTCTCAAGATGGGTCAGCGAACGTATTCAAGGCTATTTAACCCAGTTAACGAGCGAACCGGGCTAAATTTAAAGAGCTAGATCCTCTCCCGCTACCAATAGTCGGTGTCACCACCGAATCTTATCGATAGCGGAACCTGCTGACGTATCGGTTCGTTTTAGTATTTTCCAGACGGCTTCAACTGAAAATGCAACACCACCCTGAATTCCGAGAGACGCTAACACAAAGTTTTAGACAAGCGCAGGAATACTTGGGAGCATTTGTATTTGGACTATTCGGATTCAACCAACCTCGATACCAAGATGCAATTCCGGGGCCCACGCTTTACGGGAAGTAGACACATGCCGATTCTGAGCCCGTGTACTTTGTTATTCCTCTTTCCAGATCACATCTTAATGTCCTTGGCATGGTACACTCCGATCGGTCGTCCTTGAAGATCTTCAAGCTCGTACGCATTATTGCCGACTGTCTTGACCACCCGAGCTTTCAGGAACTTCCGAGCAAACTTTGCATTGAAGGCCTTTTTGAAATCGCTGGGGGCAAAGTTGCGGCGATACACTTCCTGACCTGGCTTCGCAAGGAAAGTACGAGCCCTTTTGTCGTACCGCAGACGACTCCGATCGTATGCACACTCGATGTTCTTCTGCACCTTGTCATGGATCAGTTGGAGTTTATCAGCTGTTCTCATCCCAGACATTTCGTGATCACACAGCGACTTCAACTTCCTTGCCAACTTGTAGCTGGCTCCGTTCAGGAACATGTGTCGTCCGAATACGGTGAAGAACGGAGTTTCTCCAGTTGTTGAATGGACCGCGTTGCGGAGGGCCACCTCCATCTCCGGAAGATACGCGTCCCATTCTCGATGGTCTTCTTCTAAGTAGCTTCGGATCGCCGCCAAAACGCTTTGGTTTACCCTTTCCGCTGTGTTGCTTTGCGGAGAGTGCACTGGCGTTTTGATGTGCGTGATGCCAAAGCTTTCCATCGCCTCCTCGAAGATCTTGGACGTAAACTGGCGGCCGTTGTCCGAATGCACAATTTCTGGAACCCCAAACTTGTAGAAAACCTCATGAATGAGGAACTCCACTACATTTGAGGCCGATGCCTCTTGCATGGCTTTCAGAAATGTGTATTTGGAGAAGTGATCCACCACAATGAAGATGTAGGCCTGTCCCTTCTTCGACCTCGGATACTTCCCCAGGAAATCGATGTACAGCTTCTGAAATGGCTGCTCAGTCTGGACTCTCTCACCGATACCAACTTGCATCCGGAAATTCGGGGACTTCGTCTCCTTGCACATTTCACACCTGCGTATGGACTCCCGGACTTGCAGTGCCATGCCAGGCCAGTAAAACTGCCGCCGTAGGTTTTCCAGAGTTTTTCCCATTCCGACATGAGCTGCCGTTGACCCGAATGTGCACGCTCAATTATGCTGTATGTCAGACTCTGGGGAATCCACAACTTCCATTCGAAGGTGGAAGGCCACCTCGTCATCCAGATTTGCCGAAGAGACTCTCTTGAAGATGAGACCGTCCACTATCCTCAAGTCCGGTAGGTTGGCCAAGTTTTTTTTCCACTTCTTGTAACAACTCCGTGTACTCTTCTCCAGCAAACTCATTGGTCTCGAAGCCGAGCAACTCTGACGGGTCCACCGTTAGCTCTTCAACACAACGCCAAAGGGTATCTGCCACGACGTTCTCGCTTCCTTTCCTCTGTTCGGTGTTGAAGTCATATCCCTGGAGTTGCAATGACCACCGAGCCAGCCGACCCGAAAGGTCTTTCATGGACATGAGCCACTTCAAGCTGGCATGAGCCGTGATGCACGTGAACGGCATTACTTCCACATACGGACGGAACTTTCGAATGGCCAGCAGGGCTGCGAGGCATTCTTTTTCGGTGACGGTGTAATGGACTTGGTGACAATTCATCTTGGCCGAGAAGAACGCTATGGGTTGCTCCTGGTCGTCTTCATCCCGCTGGAACAACACTGCACCGACTCCGATCTGGGATGCATCGCACTGGATGAACAAGTGGCGCTTGAAGTCCGCAGGTACCAGCACTGGCACAGTAGTAAGGGACATCTTCTGGACTCAAGGAAAACTTCTTATTCCCCGTCTTCTTCAAGGATTTCGTGAGCAGGGCTGCCAACGTCGCGAAGTTCTTTATGAACCGACGGTACCAACCCGCGGTTCCAAGAAAGGCTCTCATTTCCTTCATGGTCCTTGGCTCAGGCATCCGCCTAATAGCTGCTACACGCCCTGGATCCATCCGCAGACGTCCTCCACCCACTATGAAGCCGAGGTAGGTCAAAGACTTGAAGCAAAACTTCGACTTGCTCAGACCAATGGTTAACCCTGCTTCTTTCAGGCATTCAGCGACTCGGCGAAGATACTTCAAGTACGTTCTCATGTCAGGCGCTAGTATTAGCAGGTCATCCAAGTAGACGAACACATTCGAGCGGATTTCAGCTGGAATTACTCGGTCCATGAGTCTCACCAGTCTCTGTGATGCGTAACAGAGTCCGAAAGGCATCACACGGAACTGGTAAAGAGGCCGACCAGGAACCGTAAAGGCTGTGTATTCCTTGCTGCTCGTGTCCAACTCAATCTGCCAACTTCAAATCCACGCTGGAAATGTAGTACGTTTGGTCGATTCTGGACAGGATGCCGTCAATGCTGGGCAACGGGTAAGCATCCTTGATGGTCACCTCATTAAGCTTACGTGCGTCTAAGCAGAACCGGTGTTTTCCAGATCTTGTTACTACGGTGGTGCGGTTGCTCCAGGGGTTTTTGCTCTCCTCGATGACTCCGAGCGCTAGCATCTTGTCGACCTCGTCCTCGACCACCTTCTGCTTCGCGGGATACATCGGATAGGGTCGATCCTTGAACACTTTGGCTCCGTCCATCAGTTCAATAGTGTGCTTCTCCAGACAGGTAGTACCCAATCCATTCCTCTCGAAGGTCAAGAACTGCTGCTTGATCTCCTCCAGCTCTTGTTCCTCGGCTTTGGAAAGCGTCCAGGACTCGGGATCGGTTTTCTCCTCATCGTCATTCTCGACCTCAGCGTAGTGCTCCATCTCCCTGGCGTGTAATTCTTCGGCCTTCTTCACGCCTTCGGGATTGATGTGGCCTATAATTGCTGGGGCCAGTCCGAATGCTTGCCAAAAGTCCACTCCAAAATAAGCTGGCTGCTCCAGGTAAGGACACAAGTAGAAGAGAATGTACTCTGTCCGACCTCGGTATTCCACCGGTAACTTAACCCTTCCTATAATTGACCGATCCTCTCCAGAGGCCGTACGGACTGCGGATAAGTACTTCTGGACGGGCACATCCAATGCCTCGACCAGCTCTCTGCCACCTTTACCAAGCAGACTAACACTCGCTCCAGTGTCCAACAACCCCGTCAGTTGCTTGGTCAGGACTCGGACTGCGGCGAACGGTCTGGGATCTCGCGATAAACTCCGCTTCACGACGGCCACTGCTTCGCGTCGGCAGTTCCGACGTTTGCGAAATCGGTCCCTGGCCTTCTGCACCTTGCGAGACACCATACGCATCCCGCCTAACTGGTGCTCTGAGAAGATCCTGTTCCTGATATCTAGGTACCGACGCATCCTCTCCGCATAAGGTAAGTATTGTAAATTAGACTTATTGCTATTCTTAGAAGGTAAACATTTATTTAACTCTACCAACTCTTCTTCTCTGCGGAACTCCTGTCTGGACGCATCCTCTCCGCCCTCGGATCGCCCAGCCGACCGTTTTCCGCACAATCCGGACATTTGGGAGACACGGTGTCTGGCTTCCCACATCGGAGCAGAAAAGTCTGCGTTCGGCTGCTGCGCAGTCACGGAACCCGTGATCCACGGCTCCGCAATTCCAGCAGCCGGCTCGGAGCGGATTCTAAAGTTTCGCCCGCACTTCGTCCACCTCGTGCCACGGGGGATCCTCACCAGGATCTGGGCCAATCGCCTCGCTAACCTTGGCCTTCTCCGCCAGAGGATACCGCATCGGCTGTGTGTACGTGGTCCGTCCACGTCGTCTAAAACTGCGCTCCACCTCGCAGCACTCTTCCCCCAGTTCATCCACCGTGAGCACATCCATCGCGTAGACAAACCTTGCGATGCTCTCCCTCAAGCCCTTTTTAATAATCTTTACCAGCTGTCGCTCTGCAGTGGCCTTTTCAGACGGGCCGCTAACTGCTGCATCGCGTAGACGTAATCGCCAACTCCTTCTCCGAGCTGCTGCTCCACAAATCAAAACAAAACAAAGTTATATTTACATCAAAACTTTGACAATTGGACGAAATTGGTGGCTTCGATGTCCTTGCCACAACGCACCCACCCAACCTTGGGTGCCCCAAAAAGGATGTAGGAGGCACGCCCCATCTCCGGCAGACCGGAGTCTATTCCTGGTGGATTAGGATCGGCTCATCTCCCCGCCCAAGATAAACACAAACATCTCGGTAGCTTGTTCACATTTAATTTTGGGCAAGATTAATAAATAAATACATTCATTATTGATGCCTACTAATAATCTACTCTTTTCGTTAGAAACACTCTAGGCCGATCTCAGGCCGTCGCCCAGATGAAAAGCGGTCAAAGTGACAACAACCGAAGTGAAATTTTTAGACGCTTAATACTACAAGTGTCAGGCAAAAATCGCCGCACGGCACTAAATTGGAGGCGTTTGCCAACCGGGTCGCCTAATCCTGAGGAGCTCCAAGGGAAAAGAAGGGACGTGCTGAAAAGGTAAGTACGCTAAATAAATCCCACAAGTCATTAAATTTCGGGACCCAATTTAGACGTAGTTGGACGCGCGGCTAGGGTTCGGAATTAAGCCTCTGATTTTAGATTAGATTTCACAGTGAGTACTTGACAATCATGACTGTATGATATCACAAAATTAATTACTAAACTTATTTATTGCAGAGTTCAACGTCGGATGTGGTTGAAGCTGCAGCCAGAAGAGAAGAATCGCTAGCGGCGAAAACAGGCGCGAGTCCGCACGGAGCCAATTGCTCCAGTGCGTCGGTGGACTTGGAGATGACCAAGTGGTCAGCGCGGGCATTCGTTCCCGGAACAAACTCACAGAGGGAATCTCCGTATGTGGCCGTCTCGGAGGCAGTTGCTGGAGCTGCTGACGCTGGTGGCCGACGTGGTCCTCACGACCAGGTTAGGTCAGCCAGGTGAGTATTCCCGAATCCCTTAAATTTCCGGGGCCCTTTAGATAGGGTCCCCGGTGGCTTTAATATTTAAAAAAAAACACTGTTATTTATAAGTTTATTGCAAATAAACACCCACTCACTTTAATTTATCTAAACACTAATAATGCACTTATGAACTTATTTTTCCACGACTGTTCTACTGCGACTTATTGCAGCAACTAAAGCAAATCCCTGACCTACACCAAAGTCGTTCGCCATTTTCCCTCCCGCTCTCTCAAGATGGGTCAGCGAACGTATTCAAGGCTATTTAACCCAGTTAACGAGCGAACCGGGCTAAATTTAAAGAGCTAGATCCTCTCCCGCTATCAATAGTCGGTGTCACCACCGAATCTTATCGATAGCGGAACCTGCTGACGTATCGGTTCGTTTTAGTATTTTCCAGACGGCTTCAACTGAAAATGCAACACCACCCTGAATTCCGAGAGACGCTAACACAAAGTTTTAGACAAGCGCAGGAATACTTGGGAGCATTTGTATTTGGACTATTCGGATTCAACCGACCTCGATACCAAGATGCAATTCCGGGGCCCACGCTTTACGGGAAGTAGACACATGCCGATTCTGAGCCCGTGTACTTTGTTATTCCTCTTTCCAGATCACAACTTAATGTCCTTGGCATGGTACACTCCGATCGGTCGTCCTTGAAGATCTTCAAGCTCGTACGCATTATTGCCGACTGTCTTGACCACCCGAGCTTTCAGGAACTTCCGAGCAAACTTTGCATTGAAGGCCTTTTTGAAATCGCTGGGGGCAAAGTTGCGGCGATACACTTCCTGACCTGGCTTCGCAAGGAAAGTACGAGCCCTTTTGTCGTACCGCAGACGACTCCGATCGTATGCACACTCGATGTTCTTCTGCACCTTGTCATGGATCAGTTGGAGTTTATCAGCTGTTCTCATCCCAGACATTTCATGATCACACAGCGACTTCAACTTCCTTGCCAACTTGTAGCTGGCTCCGTTCAGGAACATGTGTCGTCCGAATACTGTGAAGAACGGAGTTTCTCCAGTTGTTGAATGGACCGCGTTGCGGAGGGCCACCTCCATCTCCGGAAGATACGCGTCCCATTCTCGATGGTCTTCTTCTAAGTAGCTTCGGATCGCCGCCAAAACGCTTTGGTTTACCCTTTCCGCTGTGTTGCTTTGCGGAGAGTGCACTGGCGTTTTGATGTGCGTGATGCCAAAGCTTTCCATCGCCTCCTCGAAGATCTTGGACGTAAACTGGCGGCCGTTGTCCGAATGCACAATTTCTGGAACCCCAAACTTGTAGAAAACCTCATGAATGAGGAACTCCACTACATTTGAGGCCGATGCCTCTTGCATGGCTTTCAGAAATGTGTATTTGGAGAAGTGATCCACCACAATGAAGATGTAGGCCTGTCCCTTCTTCGACCTCGGATACTTCCCCAGGAAATCGATGTACAGCTTCTGAAATGGCTGCTCAGTCTGGACTCTCTCACCGATACCAACTTGCATCCGGAAATTCGGGGACTTCGTCTCCTTGCACATTTCACACCTGCGTATGGACTCCCGTACTTGCAGTGCCATGCCAGGCCAGTAAAACTGCCGCCGTAGGTTTTCCAGAGTTTTTCCCATTCCGCCATGAGCTGCCGTTGACCCGAATGTGCACGCTCAATTATGCTGTATGTCAGACTCTGGGGAATCCACAACTTCCATTCGAAGCCTTCCACCTCGTCATCCAGATTTGCCGAAGAGACTCTCTTGAAGATGAAACCGTCCACTATCCTCAAGTCCGGTAGGTTGGCCAAGTTTTTTTCCACTTCTTGTAACAACTCCGTGTACTCTTCTCCAGCAAACTCAGTGGTCTCGAAGCCGAGCAACTCTGACGGGTCCACCGTTAGCTCTTCAACACAACGCCAAAGGGTATCTGCCACGACGTTCTCGCTTCCTTTCCTGTGTTCGGTGTTGAAGTCATATCCCTGGAGTTGCAATGACCACCGAGCCAGCCGACCCGAAAGGTCTTTCATGGACATGAGCCACTTCAAGCTGGCATGAGCCGTGATGCACGTGAACGGCATTCCTTCCACATACGGACGGAACTTTCGAATGGCCAGCAGGGCTGCGAGGCATTCTTTTTCGGTGACGGTGTAATGGACTTGGTGACAATTCATCTTGGCCGAGAAGAACGCTATGGGTTGCTCCTGGTCGTCTTCATCCCGCTGGAACAACACTGCACCGACTCCGATCTGGGATGCATCGCACTGGATGAACAAGTGGCGCTTGAAGTCCGCATGTACCAGCACTGGCACAGTAGTAAGGGACATCTTCAAGGACTCTACTGCCAGCTGTGCTTCTGGACTCAAGGAAAACTTCTTATTCCCCGTCTTCTTCAAGGATTTCGTGAGCAGGGCTGCCAACGTCGCGAAGTTCTTTATGAACCGACGGTACCAACCCGCGGTTCCAAGAAAGGCTCTCACTTCCTTCATGGTCCTTGGCTCAGGCATCCGCCTAATAGCTGCTACACGCCCTGGATCCATCCGCAGACGTCCTCCACCCACTATGAAGCCGAGGTAGGTCAAAGACTTGAAGCAAAACTTCGACTTGCTCAGACCAATGGTTAACCCTGCTTCTTTCAGGCATTCAGCGACTCGGCGAAGATACTTCAAGTACGTTCTCATGTCAGGCGCTAGTATTAGCAGGTCATCCAAGTAGACGAACACATTCGAGCGGATTTCAGCTGGAATTACTCGGTCCATGAGTCTCACCAGTCTCTGTGATGCGTAACAGAGTCCGAAAGGCATCACACGGAACTGGTAAAGAGGCCGACCAGGAACCGTAAAGGCTGTGTATTCCTTGCTGCTCGTGTCCAACTCAATCTGCCAACTTCAAATCCACGCTGGAAATGTAGTACGTTTGGTCGATTCTGGACAGGATGCCGTCAATGCTGGGCAACGGGTAAGCATCCTTGATGGTCACCTCATTAAGCTTACGTGCGTCTAAGCAGAACCGGTGTTTTCCAGATCTTGTTACTACGGTGGTGCGGTTGCTCCAGGGGTTTTTGCTCTCCTCGATGACTCCGAGCGCTAGCATCTTGTCGACCTCGTCCTCGACCACCTTCTGCTTCGCGGGATACATCGGATAGGGTCGATCCTTGAACACTTTGGCTCCGTCCATCAGTTCAATAGTGTGCTTCTCCAGACAGGTAGTACCCAATCCATTCCTCTCGAAGGTCAAGAACTGCTGCTTGATCTCCTCCAGCTCTTGTTCCTCGGCTTTGGAAAGCGTCCAGGACTCGGGATCGGTTTTCTCCTCATCGTCATTCTCGACCTCAGCGTAGTGCTCCATCTCCCTGGCGTGTAATTCTTCGGCCTTCTTCACGCCTTCGGGATCGATGTGGCCTATAATTGCTGGGGCCAGTCCGAATGCTTGCCAAAAGTCCACTCCAAAATAAGCTGGCTGCTCCAGGTAAGGACACAAGTAGAAGAGAATGTACTCTGTCCGACCTCGGTATTCCACCGGTAACTTAACCCTTCCTATAATTGACCGATCCTCTCCGGAGGCCGTACGGACTGCGGATAAGTACTTCTGGACGGGCACATCCAATGCCTCGACCAGCTCTCTGCCACCTTTACCAAGCAGACTAACACTCGCTCCAGTGTCCAACAACCCCGTCAGTTGCTTGGTCAGGACTCGGACTGCGGCGAACGGTCTGGGATCTCGCGATAAACTCCGCTTCATGACGGCCACTGCTTCGCGTCGGCAGTTCCGACGTTTGCGAAATCGGTCCCTGGCCTTCTGCACCTTGCGAGACACCATACGCATCCCGCCTAACTGGTGCTCTGAGAAGATCCTGTTCCTGATATCTAGGTACCGACGCATCCTCTCCGCATAAGGTAAGTATTGTAAATTAGACTTATTGCTATTCTTAGAAGGTAAACATTTATTTAACTCTACCAACTCTTCTTCTCTGCGGAACTCCTGTCTGGACGCATCCTCTCCGCCCTCGGATCGCCCAGCCGACCGTTTTCCGCACAATCCGGACATTTGGGAGACACGGAGCAGAAAAGTCTGCGTTCGGCTGCTGCGCAGTCACGGAACCCGTGATCCACGGCTCCGCAATTCCAGCAGCCGGCTCGGAGCGGATTCTAAAGTTTCGCCCGCACTTCGTCCACCTCGTGCCACGGAGGATCCTCACCAGGATCTGGGCCAATCGCCTCGCTAACCTTGGCCTTCTCCGTCAGAGTATACCGCATCGGCTGTGTGTACGTGGTCCGTCCACGTCGTCCAAAACTGCGCTCCACCTCGCAGCACTCTTCCCGCAGTTCATCCACCGTGAGCACATCCATCGCGTAGACAAACCTTGCGATGCTCTCCCTCAAGCCCTTTTTAATAATCTTTACCAGCTGTCGCTCTGCAGTGGCCTTTTCAGACGGGCCGCTAACTGCTGCATCGCGTGGACGTAATCGCCAACTCCTTCTCCGAGCTGCTGCTCCACAAATCAAAACAAAACAAAGTTAGATTTACATCAAAACTTTGACAATTGGACGAAATTGGTGGCTTCGATGTCCTTGCCACAACGCACCCACCCAACCTTGGGTGCCCCAAAAAGGATGTAGGAGGCACGCCCCATCTCCGGCAGACCGGAGTCTATTCCTGGTGGATTAGGATCGGCTCATCTCCCCGCCCAAGGTAAACACAAACATCTCGGTAGCTTGTTCACATTTAATTTTGGGCAAGATTAATAAATAAATACATTCATTATTGATGCCTACTAATAATCTACTCTTTTCGTTAGAAACACTCAAGGCCGATCTCAGACCGTCGCCCAGATGAAAAGCGGTCAAAGTGACAACAACCGAAGTGAAATTTTTAGACGCTTAATACTACAAGTGTCAGGCAAAAATCGCCGCACGGCACTAAATTGGAGGCGTTTGCCAACCGGGTCGCCTAATCCTGAGGAGCTCCAAGGGAAAAGAAGGGACGTGCTGAAAAGGTAAGTACGCTAAATAAATCCCACAACTCATTAAATTTCGGGACCCAATTTAGACGTAGTTGGACGCGCGGCTAGGGTTCGGAATTAAGCTTCTAATTTAAGATTAGATTTCACAGTGAGTACTTGACAATCTTAACTGTATGATATCACAAACTTAATTACTAAACTTATTAATTGCAGAGTTCAACGTCGGATGTGGTTGAAGCTGCAGCCAGAAGAGAAGAATCGCTAGCGGCGAAAATAGGCGCGAGTCCCTCCGTGCGGACTCCGGAGGATAGCGCAGCATCTGCGTAAGAGGGGCCGGAGGCAGTGCGTCGGTGGACTTGGAGATGACCAAGTGGTCAGCGCGGGCATTCGTTCCCGGAACGAACTCACCGAGGGAATCTCCGTATGTGGCCGTCTCGGAGGCAGTTGCTGGAGCTGCTGACGCTGGTGGCCGACGTGGTCCTCACGACCAGGTTAGGTCCGCCAGGTGAGTATTCCCGAATCCCTTAAATTTCCGGGGCCCTTTAGATAGGGTCCCCGGTGGCTTTAATTTTTTTAAAAAAAACACTGTTATTTATAAGTTTATAGCAAATAAATAACCACTCACTTTAATTTATCTAAACACTAATAATGCACTTATGAACTTATTTTTCCACGACTGTTCTACTGCGACTTATTGCAGCAACTAAAGCAAAACCCTGACCTACACCAAAGTCGTTCGCCATTTTCCCTCCCGCTCTCTCAAGATGGGTCAGCGAACGTATTGAAGGCTATTTAACCCAGTTAACGAGCGAACCGGGCTAAATTTAAATAGCTAGATCCTCTCCCGCTATCAATAGTCGGTGTCACCACCGAATCTTATCGATAGCGGGACCTGCTGACGTATCGGTTCGTTTTAGTATTTTCCAGACGGCTTCAACTGAAAATGCAACAACACTTTCAGTTGTATTAAATTATAGCTGTCATAAGAACTATCGAATAATTGAGCTGCAAATCATCATAGCTTCAATGTTTTTAAACATATACGCAAGCAAATAATAATTTTAAAGTTTTCAAGAATATTTACGAACTTCGGCTTGCCGAAGTTTGCGTCCATTCAAATTCAAATACGCTAATTTTTTGAAAGCACTTTTTCTATGTTTCTGGCCTTGAAATTGCCACAGAAAATATAATTGACCGATGGCAAAATTTGTTTTTATTTAAAACTTGTTGATTTCTCGTCTACCGTTTTACAAAAAATGTATTATTTTTTGAGTTTTAAAATACAGAAAAGATTCTTTTTTATCCTTTTGCTTTTTTTTTTTTAAATTTATACTCTGTTTCTTACCACTGGTGGGGGAAAACAAGAGTCAATTGTTTTTAGCTACCTTTAGCAAGCGCATTTACTTTTTAATATTTAAGATGCTGGTCTTAGCACTGAGTCTCTTACCACTGGTGGGGGAATACTGCAGAGTTGCCCAAAGACCAAAATGTTTGGGATGACAACTAAATGAAATACGCTTCTTCATTGAGATCTAAATTTAAAATGTTTTACTTTTTCAAATATAGTTTCCAAGATTCTTATTCTAGTTTTAACTATGGCCTAAGCAGATACTGCATCTGTTTGCCTGAGCATGTGGGACAAATCTTAAGCGTTAATATTAGGCATTTCAAGTGGCCTACACTTACAGACATGTCTTGTTTTTAAGATCAATTAACATGACATGAGGTGCAAGTGGCAGAAAGCAGCGGCTGAAGGAACTCTGGATGACTTTTCCTACGAGGATTCACCTCTAACTGATAAGGTTTTACATGTTTTGAAGCCTATTTATGAGAGCTTGTCGGAGGATTCTTTATTAAAACGTTGTTTGCGTTGCGAAACTCAAAATAACAACAAGTCACTAACAAGTCGATCCAGCCATATAAATTCTGGATACCAAACAATTGGAATTGCAAATTATTTTACAGTCTGTATTTTTAATGAAGGCTTTTATCCCATTCTTAATATTATGAAACTAATGGAAATTAAAATTGGCCTGAAATCATGGGTTTGTCGTCAGACGCAGTGAGAATTCAATGGTTTAAGGTCCGAACCACAGCGAAATTTGTACTACTTTAGAATCTATTATTGTTTTAAAAAACACTGACTTATTCATTGAAGAAAGATGTTCAATATTTTGGCTAGTATGCATTATGCATTTACTTAACCACTCTTACCAAATTCCAGAAACTAACTGCCGTAGAGAAGTTCAGATATTATCTGTCTGATAACTTATAATAACTGGCTTATTGTTGAAATATTGTCGCCAAACTTTACAGGATGAATTTTAACAAAACAAAATATATCTCTGAATCATTTCGGGAAAATTTTTTATTTCAATTTTTTGTTTAATAGCAATATGTCGCAACCCAAATTTATTCCTTAAAAAATAAAAACTTCTGAACATTTTTCTAAGTATACAGAAAAAAAATGCGCAAAAACTCCATAACAATTCGCAGTTCTTTGTGTTTTTATGTCTGAAATTCATGTATTTTTTTACCATTGGTAGAGATGAATATGAGCTATCATAATCGGCTTATGACACTACATTGTTGGCCTCATTCATTGCTCTTTTTTTTTAAAATTTACGTAATTGCGAGCAAGACAAACGTTGATAGCACCCAAAACCCGATAGTAAAAATACTAAACGGAATTGGGGAAAAATACCATTCGATAAAATACTACCGGGACCGATACATTAATGAGAAAAATTGTATTTAAAAATATGTGCGTCAACATAGCGTCGGTGAGCTAGGAACGATTGGGGAACAATGGAAATTGGAACACAAGGGTGTTTTTTTTTTATATATCTCGTTACTTAGGCACGTTATTATAAAATTGTAGGTGCAAAAATATAAATAAATGAAATATCTAACGATATATATGTAATTTAAAAATATTAGAAGTCTGCAAGTATTTAAATTATGTATATGAAAAATCTCCACAATTTGGCCAACTGCTCCCTACACAGAGGTTGTGCCAATATGCACGCTAAACCACACTATTGAGCGTTAATTCAAGCTTCTTTTCAGAAAGTTTCATCAATAAAACCGACAGAAATAATCGCCTAACAGAGTGTCAACCTCTGACATTTTTCATTCAAAACGGGTGGGCAAAATTAAGTTACAAAGGGCTCCCCTTGTTGAGGTTGTGCCAATAAGTACGGTACAAAGGCAGATTGGTGATATTCTGAAGAACGTTTCGTTTAGTTTTTGAGAATATTGCGTAACAAAAGTTAAAAAAAAGAAGGTGTTTAGATCAGAACCACTGGGTACCAAGTCACGAATAACAATGCGAAATTCCACCCTTGACATTAACCAAATAAAAAAATTTTCGACGCTAACTTTTGGTTTATTTAATAAAGGTTGTGCCAACATGCACGTATTCTCATTAGAAAGGGCGATTTATTAAAGGCTTTTCAAACCCTTTAATTTAAGTGTTTTCAAACGTGCCGTTTTTCCACGTGGAAACACTAGCCACGCCTGCTGAGAACTTCAACATCCGAGATATTAACCCTTTAAAGCGCACCATTCTCGACGCTAACATCTATTTTTATTAATACGTCGTGCATAGTAGGTTTGCCAACATGCACGTATTCTCATTAGAAGGGCCAATTTTTGACCTATTTATACATTAATTACAAGTCCGTGAATCAAATAGATATCTCAGAAATAAATTGTTTTTATGAATTAGGAAAATTTTTAACGCTAACTTTAGTTAATTACTACTTCTTTCGCAGATGTTGAAGTTAATCAAAACGAGGGATGTCTCAAAAATTAAATAAATTACATATATGCCTCGGGCAGGTTATAAAGAATTCCTCCCAAATAACTTAATAGTGACTATACATGGATAAGAGCATGTTACGACTTCCAACACTTATTTATGACAACTGGCAATGCTTTGATGCTAAATATAAAAAAGGCACAAGTTTAAAAAGGAAGTTTTTCAATTTAACAACTACATTCCTTAATTGTACTTTTCAGCATGATCATTTGTTATAAGTTTTGTTAAAATCGAGTCAGTGGACTGGAGAACCACAGAACCTTCTCCGTTGTATGAATGGCCCATAAGGTTTTGCCGGACTTTGACGATGTTCTTGCGGTGCAGTCCTGTTCCAATTCAGTCCATCCCTGAAAACCCGTTAAGATTTTTAAATGGGTGAAACTCCGATTTCAACAGAGCATAATCACCTTCCGATTTCAGCTGATCAAAACGGCTCAAGAAAACATATGCAATGATGGTTGCCCTGTTGACTTTGTTTACGTTTTGCCGAGCCACAGCTGTTCAGATCAGGTGAACTCGGAAGGTGGATGTGCTCTGTCGAAAGCGGAGTTTCACATTTGTTAAAAATGTGGGCATAATGCCCTTCCGATTTCAGCTGATCTAAACAGCTGTGGTTCGTAAAAACATAAAAGAGTCATCGGGTCTACCATCTTTGTTTATGTTTTGATGAGCTTCAGCTGTTAAGATCAGCTAAATTTGGAGGGTGGATGTGCTCTGTGGAAACCTGAGTTTCACTTTTTTCAAAAATCCCAACGGTTTTTCAGGAATGGACTGAGTGGACAAAGGTTTGCACCGCAGAAACATCGGTTAACTATCGCATAAATTAGTCCATCAAAGTCCGTTAAGTTTTAACGGCGGACTAACTGGGAAGTTTTTGGAGCGGCACAACCTTATGGACAATCCCTTCAACGGATGGTGGGAGGTGAATGGATCCCTGTGGAAATACACATTTGAGCGATTCATAACATTTTCGGGCGCCGGTAGAGAAGCTTCCACTGTATTGAAAGCATTACCCGATACTTTGGAGAAAGAGAACAAAAGTCAAACCCAAAACTTTGTTCTACTTAATAAAACAATAACATACAATACAAGTTAATTTTATTCAAGTTTTAATATGTTTATTATGATTTAATTATGATTTTGCTCACTCATTGGAGTTGACGACAAAACGGAAAATAAAGCGAGACCTAAATGTAAACGAACTATTTTTTTACCATTTAAAGGTAACACTTGAAAACACAAAACCATAAAGATTGAATTTAACGATTAAAAGGCAGTGTGACCGTGAACTTATTGGCAAAAAAATCTCAAGCAGTATCCATATAGTTGTTTCTGTGTCTGAGTTTTAATAAATGTTAAAGTTGTCAGGATGTCGCGTCCGAAACCCTGGAATTGCCCATATGTATGTATGTATGTATATTATATTTATTAAAGTAAACTATATAAGCTCGGAAACGAGTAATAAAACCTGCAACATACTTTTAACGAATACAATTTACGCTTTCACTTTAAGATAACATTTTATTTAAAACATGCAGGAGGTAATACAATATTAGTTAAAAGTTAGCAACGAGTAAAAAAGACAATGTATATATATTCTTGATGAGGAGATTATATATCCGATTTTCTGTCCGCCCGTTTCTACGAAAACTAGTTCCCCAGTTTTTAAGTTATGTATGTATCTGCATGAAACTTGCTTTTTTTGCAGGTAGTATATAAGTCGGAACGAGCCGAATCGGGCGACTATATCATTTAACTTTATTAAAATTACAACTGTTTTTCAATTTATGCTATTTTAAAATTACTGTTTTCATTTGAATCAATTCGGACAATAATAGAAACGATCGAAAGAATGAGCGGAAACTCGAAAGTTTTATGGTTTGCTTCGAAAAGGTTTCTCATTTCGTAAGATTCTAACGATAATAACTTCTGGTGTTGTGTTTTTTCCTGAAAAATTCTGAGGTGAACGAACACTCTCGCTCATGAACAAAACATATTTTTTAACGCAAGCAGCGGGCCGCCCTCGTGGCAAGATGTGACACGAAAAAATACACAGCCCATGCCCATCTCTAATATTAATCAAGAATATATATGATACTTTGTTGGTCTGAAATGTCGTTGCATGGGTATACTAATTTAGATTGAAATTAAATTACGATTTTTTTTAAAGTTACATAGATTCTCACAGTTCTAGTTTATAATTTTTGTTAGAGCGCATGCGCTTAGTTTTACCTCAACCATATAAAAATCATTCTCTAGATAAATGTAAAAGTTTTGAAGACCAAACATTACTAAAAAAGTAATTAACCTAATGCATTTCAGTTTAATAGTTTAATAGTTTATATTGATAATTTTTTTCTTTAGGCTGCAAGTGAATATACCGCCATATCTAAGCGGCCAAACACAGAAAAAGCACCATTTTCTCTTTGTTTACATCATATGTATATATGTACATATTAGATTTACAACAATTTTAATCACATGTTTAAATTGAACTAGATTAATACTTTATGATATTTTAAAATGATTTGAACTATTCACAAAATACAACAGTATGTACTAAATATTTGGGGGAGGAAATGTATATTCCAGTCTCTTCTTTCCATGTGCAGGGATGGAACAGAATGGGGAGGATTCCAAGATATTTCTTCGTCCAGTTTCAAAAGACAATTCATTGGTTTGATAAGCACATCGCGGCTTCGGTAACAATATTTTACCTTTAATGATGTAACACAGATTTGTAATCGAAGTGTATCGTCAAATTTTTATATATATTATAAATTTGATAATAAAAAATGTCGGGATATTGTTTTATTGTGCATTGTGTCGTTATAATGTGAAAATGTGTGGCCTACTTTAAAGTAATTGAGATGGCAAACATTTAAAAGGCGTTTTAGCAACACCTTTTTCAAGGCGTAATCGACCAGTTATTATTTTGTGAAAATCTATAACTAAATATAAAACCATTGTATCCACATTGTATACTACAAATATTATTACCGATAGCATTGGATGCTGAAAGGTCTGTACAGATTGTGCTTATAAAATTATGAGTATGTTTTTATTTGAATTGTTCATGTAGGATCTAACGGAAAGTTTTTAGACACTCTTAAATGTTTTAAAGGCTATGAAATAAAAATTAAAAATTAGTTAATATGTCAAGATAGTTGTTATAAAATTTTGACTTAACTTAAACTGTTAAATTTAAATAAAAACTGATTTAAATTTTACAAAACTAATGGTTACGTGCTGATTTGTTCTGCATTTTTTTCGTCGGAAAGTAAACTAGGTACATATAAAGAATAAAACTTTCACAGCTGTCGGAAAAATTTTATTGGAGCTTTATCAATATTTTTTTTATGATTCTAGTAATGGATGCGCATTAAGTTAGCAGTATAACTTTTAAAATTTAAACCCTATTTTTATCCATAATTTACAGTTAATTATCCGGAAATTATTCGGGAAAGAATAAAAAATTATTTAAAGCTTATTAATATTTATAAAATTAAAAAGTTTTAAACCGAAAATAACAAAGTCATTAAAACTGAAACCGACCGTTGCTATGGGATATATGATATAGTCGTGGTGTATGTCAATTTTTTGTATGATGCTTTTATAGTTTTTTTCTTGAAACTTTCTAAAAATTTCATAACGATATAACAACTAGAATTATTAATGGCCGCGGCTCCATGCAAGCCGAACCACTGTGTGATGGCCTAGTGTGCGATGCATGCTAATGGCCGAGCCTCCATAGCACCACATCCACCATTTACTTTGAAAGATGATACGAAAGGTTTTGCCGTTTTGATAGAGTTAAGGACCCACCCAAATTCAGCTTTAGCTACTATTACGTTTCACGGATGGTGGATAGTAGCAAAATTTTCAGCGTGGATTTTCGATGTGGACCCACGATTTTTAATGTATGCGTTGTTTGTGTGTGATGCTTTAATTGTGTTGGTGTTTTAAGAACACGCTCCTGCCAATTATAGCCTTATTCTATTGCCGCATTAGTGGACTTTTTAAATGTGCCTGAATCCATTTAGCTTTGACACTTCAGTGGCACGAACAGCTGATTTGGGTTTTTTTACTTTTGAATTTTCGCTTATCAAAATAGTATATAGTAATGGTTAAATATTTCAGAATTTCGTTTTAAATTTCATCAAAATCGGAAGACTATATCATATAGCTCCCATAGATATAATAAAAATATATAAAATAACTATCTAATAATTGAGCTGCAAATCATTAATTCTTCAATGTTTTTAGACATATACGCAAGTAATAATTTTAATATATTCAAAAATATTTAATTCTTGCAATAGCTGCAAGGGTATATGAACTTCGGCTTGCCGAAGTTTGCTTCCTTTCTTGTTTTACATTTTTTAGGTGTGTATCTTTAATAGCAACTAAATCTAAAGTGGATTTTGTTTCCTTAGGGCCACCGGGGACCCTTTTAGGAGGGTCCCTGGATATTTTTATTTGCGTTATACAGTGACCCCGATATAACATTGGAGATTGTCACTGCCAAAGAAGATCGGCTAAACCCGACACACGTTCACGCGGAGCAAGTCATCTGCGCCGACCAGCAGGTGCCACGACAAGCGGCAGCCACGATCAGCGGCAGCCCCGACCGTTTCGGCAATGTAGAACCCTCCCCGGGCCAAGTAACAGCTGGGCCGTCCTTGGGGCTACTGATGTCATTTCGCTACACTACTACCCGTCCGTCGTTTCCGGAATTGCCAGTGCCAGTGCCGACTACTGCGCTGAACGAAGTTCCTATCCGTGGTGTCCTCGCACTCACTTCGCCGCGAGCATCCAGTACTTTTCCATGACTTACGTCCTGCGTGGCTGGTCGTTGCAATCTGAAACAGTTTTAAGTTCAGTTAGTCGTCTCAATACATGTGCTTTGACACTCCTTGCCAGAATTTGTTGTTCAGCCAGTAACGGAATTTGTTTACTTACCAATTTTCTGGCACGTCCTTTCCGCCAATAACGGCGGTCGAGTTTGACTAAAAAGGCTTTAATAGAGATTGGTTATTTAATGGGAAATATAAATCTGGTATTATTTTTGATAAGATTTACCATGTTTAATTCTTCACAAGCGTACGAAATGCTAGAGTAAGTTGTTTTTGTAGAGGAGATGGGATGACTCCGGCCGGCTAAACATGGCGTGAAAATTGCAAAGCTTGTGAATGTGGACTGTTTATTTGGATTTTGCGTCAATACTCTTCTTGTCTTTGAATCATTATTTAAATTGTGCTTCCATTTTGCATGCTATTATGGACGCGTATGCGTCTGCAGCGTTACTCAGTGTGGCAACAGGACTTGTAGTTAAGATCACCTTATATTATTTATATTGGTGGCATAAGCTAAAACTTACATTTTTTAATAAATTCCTCTTTAATCACTATGGACGGCAGTACATGTAGTGACGATGCGCACCAAGAGAGTGTGCATGGGACTAATATATATAGCCGCAGAATTGAAAATGTGCTGTGGTGGTCCGATCGTAAGGAGTAATTGGTATCGCTAAAATATTAAGTATTGGTGAAAATTAAAAAATTTTCTTTAAGTGGAGTTTTTGAGACCGGGTTGGTAAAATATTCCACTTGTTTAGCAGTTTAAATTTTTTTGAAAACACTCGTCGAAAGAAACTCAATTTGCTTAGATCCGATGCCCCGTTCAAAGCATTCTTGGTATATCTGAAAATGAACATTTTAAGAACTTAGCTTGTTTAGCGGAAAATCGCTAAAAATTTCAAAACTTGTACGGCTATTTCTTTTAAACTAGTAAGTCAACCGACAAGTGATATATGTCTTATGCTAATCACGCTTCCAGTAATTAATTCTCTTTTTTTTTTAATTTTTTTGGCAAATAAAAAACAAATAAAAACCACAGGCAAGGGATTTAATTTCCTTCATCCTTTTATTTCGCTGTCTAGTATATTCTGCGTATAGGCTAAATATCAGCTGGCGTTGCCACTCGGGTTCTGAACTTAACTATAACTTAATATTATATATAACGGAGAAGAAGTATTTTCATGATCTGCCATTCCGATTGCGCAGCAAGTCCCGACCGCGCCAAGAGCCAAATTCAAACTAACCATCGCTTCAAATACCAGAGTTCATATTCTTGCACTTCTTGCTCTCCGGTTCTCTCTCTCTCTCTCTCTCTTGGGCGACCGGGCCTCACTCGACGACTACGCCACTCTATAAGAGATCTGGCAATGCCGTCGCGCTACGAGTAGAGCAGGAGAGATCTCACTCTCTCATCGAAAAGGAATTCCTAGAAACCATGTTTTACCTGGAACCAATGTCTTACCAGGAACCAGCTGCGTATACTAAGCGACAACCATAACTGAGCGTCAAATAAATTTAGCGTTCATCGAATTCAAATACTTCTGAGAACTTCGACACGGCCTTCTTGACTTCTTGCACTTCCTGCACAATAGGCTTTACAACAAAGCACTATTCCTTTCAATTATTTATTGACATCAGCTTCCAATCTAAATCATTAAATTATTTTATAAACATACAACCAATAACAGCGTTTCTTGTTATATTTCAACAACATTCATTTTCACAATTTCTCTTTATTTCCAATCGGACACCAACTCGTCCTCCTGATTCCTGCCACGTATCCACGCAGGATCATGGGGCAGTCTCACACAATTGTTCTCGCCAAGCATCCTGATAGGATTTACACATACTTTCCCGCCAAGCATCCCCATAGGATCCAGGTGCAGCCGTAAAAGTTAATTTCCAGGATAATTAAAACCCAAAAATAAGTTTTGAACGTTTTATTTCTTTGAAGTTCAATTTGAGACTGACTTTATTCATTTCAAAATACCCTGATCTAAGCTGTGGGTTGGGGCAGCGACGTCGACGGCGCGGAAGAGACCGCGGCGATGGCCTAGTTCTGATGAAGTGGCTGAAACTGCAAGGTTTGCAGAATCAGAATTTTGATATTGCGCTGTGGCTACTAACCGGATGCGTGTGTTTATGTTATTGAACTTGTGGGTTCTTGACCGTTGTATTGAAATGTTGCAATGTTGCCATCGACAATGTTGCAATATTTCTCGTAAAAAATGAAGAAATATTTCTGTGATTAAGTCTCCCTCCTTAAAAACCTTCTTGTCCTCAAGAGCTGTTAGAAATAGGGAATATTATTAAATTCTGGAATTATTCTTTAAGGAATTGATATAATATTAGTTTTGTTGTTTAAAACTTGTGGTGCTGGTTCTTGGATATGTATGATTACTTTTTCTTTTCTGTGGACACAGTTTTTTAATACGATCAAAGCAAGAACAATGGCGAAAAACAATGTAACTGTGGTTATTCGGTTTATTTTAGAATCATTCTGTAAGGTTTGTAAATGCTTTCTATTTTTTATATGAAGAGCTTCCAATGCTTCTAATGACAGAATTTGTGTGCGTTGTGGTTGCAATGGCGTAATTTGAATTCGTGGAATTTCGGGATTCATAATTATTTTTTCTTTGTTTGTAAATTTTTTTCCATTTATAGTTTCGTTTAAAAATGTAATCATGAAAGTTCCTCTGAGTTGATGTGAAATATTGTTTGAATTTAGGCTGCCGTTGAAGTCATTTAAGAGTAGTATGCCATCGTCTATTTCCTCTATTTGTTCAATGCGGTCCGAGTTACTATAATCACACAGCGATTCCTTTCCCTGAGCTAATTTTGAAATACATTTTGAATTACTTAAAATAACAATTTTTCTTTTTTTTACAAATTTTGACATAGTTTGAAGTTTTACAATCATGGGGTAGACCTAGCATTACATTGTTGGATACAAAAAAATTCATTAGTTTCTAAATGTAGTATTAGTTGGTTTCTGATAACAGGCTTTAAATGAAGATTTTCATAATTAGTTGGTTCGAGTTCAGGTATTTTTATTAAGTAAATTATAGTTGTTTTATTGTGTAAGACAGACACATCAACAAATTCCAGCGTCTCCTCAATTGAAAACGAGGTAATGTTATTTTTCTGAGATATTTTATTTATTTCGTTAAGCTCAGGTTCGTTTAATAAAAGAGTATTAATTACGTTAGTTTTGACCCATTGTATTGCAAATTTAATGTTTCTATTTCTTCTTTTATAAGTCTAACTTGCGTTTGCAAGCTTGACGCAATGTCATAATTAAAAAATCTGTCTTTTTGAATTGAATTTGCTAGCATATTAGAAGTGGTTGTTAAATTATTTATTCTGTCTTGAAGCTGATTATTGATAATAATTTGGTCGTTGTTATTTTTAAGTAAATTATTGAGGTTACTTTCTTTCATAACTAAATCTTCATGATCTGGGTTACCTGCGATATATTTCCAAGCTGAGCCAATTATATTTATTGACCTTGCTTGACGGATTTTTGTTGTCAAGGTAAGTGTGCTTAGAGCAGAAAGTGATTGAATTATTTCGTGGGTCAGAGTATGATAATGTAAACTATCTTTTAATCTGTTCATTGTGTGTTCTCTTATTTGTAGTAGTTCCGTTTCAATCTGTTTTAAATTTATGACGTGAATTAATTTTATTGTTGATATCTGTAATTTTCCTATATCCCTATGTATTGTTATGGTATGTGCATCGGTATAGTTTGTTATTTCGGTGGTCACGATTGCCATTGGTATCAGCGTTATTGTTGGGTTATGGGTAATCTTATTTATTATTATTATGACGTGGACATAGATTTCCTAAGGAGTTTCGGACTTAGTTACCTTTAATATTACTTTTATGAACTACTCTTCCTGCTTCTGTTAAAATAGTTGTATTCCTATTTTCTTTAACAATTTCTTTTTTAAAACGTGGGGATAATTTAGAGTCTAGTCTGGTATTTTGTTTTGCAAATATTTCTTATCCTGGTAGATATGTCTTATAGGTTTCCTTTCTTTATTGTGGTTTTCTAAATCTACCAATTGTTTTTGTTTAAGTTTTTCTATGTTATCCTTCCTGCTTTTTTCATATTGTTCTGGGTCGGTATTAATATCTCTGCCAAAAAAAATTCTAATGGTCTTTTCTTTGTTACTGAATGTATTGTATAATTGTATTCGTAAATGGCTCTGTCTAACAATTCTTCAAAGTTATTGTATATTTTTTTGGTTTTAAGGCATATTATTATTTCCGAAAGGGTCGAATGAAATCGTTCAATCTGTCCGTTAACTGAACTTTTGTAGGGAGGAGCTTTAAAAATGGTTATATTTAACTGGATCTCTCATCATAAAGGTAATAGATGCTGAATTGAAAGCCTTTTCATTATCCATTACTACAAATTTGGGTACCCCATAGTAGAATATTATTTTGGGTAACTGTTTCTTAATGTCTTCGGTAGATTTCGATTTTATAATTTTTGCCTGAGCTAGTTTGGAAAATTTATCTATTGCGGTCAATACTAATTTCTTTTCGGTTGAGAAGATGTCAATATGGATTATGTGTCCAGGGTATTCAGGAATTGGAGTTTCTTTAATTTCTGGGTTGGGTGGATGCCTATCTTATTTTCCTTCTTTACATATCCTGCATTGTTTAACTAATGTCGTTATTTTTTGTTTCATTTTGGGGAAATAATATTTTTCTGCAAGTTGGTTTTTGTTTTCTTCTGCATTTCTATGTGCTCTGTTATGTGTTTCTAATATTAATTCTTCCTGCTTCATTTCTTCTGTCAAATCTTCTACTTTATTTTGTGTGAACCTGATTATAATGGATCCGAACTGTTCTGGAAAACATTCGCTGTATTTCTCCCATTATCTCTTCTGATGTGAACATTCCATTAAGGATTGACGGATTTAAATGTTTTTTTAATATTTCAATAAGATCAATATTCTGAAAGTTTGGTCGAGTTATAACATGTCTATGAAAGGTGGGGAACGGAATAGTAAATTTATATTTCTTTATAAATAAATATCTGATTTTAAAAGGCATTTATTGGTACTTCGACGCTGGGGATGAGGTTATGACCAGAGCTCTGTGCGCTGTGTTGTGTTGCTGTTAATGAGTTAATTTGGTTGCTTTTAGGGATCCTAGACAAAGCATCGGCCACTATGTTTTCCTTTCCGGGTTTATAAAGTAGTTCTTTTATTATATTCGTCAAGATATGATTTCCATCTCTTGATCGCTATCCCTCCCTTCCAATTACAATCGTGTGTAAGTGGTTCGTGGTCAGTATAGATTTTAACCTTGGTTCCACCGTAGAGATATCCTCTAAGTGTTTTTACTGCCCATGAAATGGCTAACATATCTTTCTTTACCGTTTCGTAGTTTTCTTCGGTTTGAGATAGTGTTCTAATTATGAAGGCTATAGGTCTGTCTTTTTGTGAAAGTACTGCTCCGATTGCGTGATCGGAGGCATCTGTTGTCAACACAAATTCCTTCTTTAAATTTGGATTCTGTAATATTACGTCTTCTGAGATTAGGGTTCTTTTTAATTTATTGAAGGCCTGAATGGCTTCACTATTGAAGTGAATAGATTTCTTCGATGAAGCTTTCTTCGAAATTCTCCCATCCTCGCCCATAGGTAATGTGGTGAGTGGTTTTGCTAGTGCAGCGTAGCCCATAATAAATCGTCTGTAATACCCTGATAGTCCAAGGAAAGATCTTAATTCCTAAACGTTTTTGGGAATGGGGTAGTTAGCGATGGCCTGTACCGTTGTTGGATTGGTTTCTATTCCCTTATCTGAAATTAATTCGACTTTACTTTTAAAAAACTCGCATTTGTCCAATTGGCATTTTATGTTAGCATTATTTATTGTATCTAAATTTTTGGAATGAGATTGTGCGTCTGGACTGAAGATAATTATGTCATCGATATAAATATAACAGATTTTCCCTATGTGTTCCCTAAGAATATCGTCTAGGGCACGCTGAAAAATAGATGGTACGTTTTTCAACCCAAATGGAAGTCTTGTGAACTCAAATTTTCCGTTATTCACGGAGAAGGCTGTTTTTTCTGTATCGCTTTCTTTTAAAAGAATTAGATGGAACTTTTGAGAACTAACACAGAAAACATTTTATTATTTCCCAGTTGTGCAAGAACTGCATTTATGTCTGGTATTGGGTATCTGTCTGCTATTCTCACACTGTTTAATTTTCTGTAATCTATTATCATTCTATATTTCTTAACATTGGAGGCATCTAATTTTTTTGGTACAATCCACACTGGTGAATTGTTAGGCGATCTAGAGGGTGGTATTATGTTGGCTTCTAAAAGTTCTTTTATTTGTCGGTCAATTTCGTCTTTGAGTGCCATTGGATATTGATAAAATTTCGAGTAGACTGGTGTGTCGGTATTTGTGGGTATCTCAGCTTTCACGTTTGTTGTGTAGGTCAATTTTTCATTTGGTTCGGGAAATAGATTTGGATATTTCTGAATAAGTTGTTTAAGATTTGATTTTTGTGTCCCAGTAAGATGATCTGTCCGAGGAATAATTCAATTTACTGCTTTGATTTTTTTCTTTAATATTGATTATTTTTCCATTTTTTAAGTGCATAGATTTGGTATTTGTGTTAATTATTGCTCCTAAATTTTTTAAACTATCGTTTCCCAAAATGGCATCAAATGTTTTTAAAGTTGGTAATAAAAAAAATTTAATTATTGTATTAGGGTCGTTAAATAAATTGGATGTTTTGTGATGTGTAATTTTAATATTTCCGCCAACCGAGATGGCGTCAAACGGAAATTTATTTTCTATAGGATTTTTTACGAATTTTGGCAAAATGTAATTATTGTTTGAACCGGTATCAATTAATATTTCTCCACTCCTCAGTTTGCATTCAAAATATGGCAATATTCTGTTAGAGATTTAGGATATTCAGATTGTGATTCGTCCTGGGAGTTTACGGTTTCGTTATATTCGTCAAGGGATTGTGTTTCATATTCCACTTTTGAAGAAGTGTCAGGGGCTGCTTAAATATTTAAATTTCTAGTTTTTTTTGCTGCTTCGTTTAGAGGCATTGGTAGTCTTTTACCAGTTTCAAAACGTATGGGTTTGTTCATATAATTAATATGTTTCGATTGCATGGCCCTGTCGATTTCCATGGGTTCTGGTCGTGGCTGTGGCTTTA